TTTATTATAAAACTCCCTATTATTCATGTAATGAGTCTTGGTAATAAAACAGTAGCCAATGATTCATTTCTCTGTGTTACTTCATGCAGTGCACTTTTGAGTTCTGAAATACAGAAGACATTCTTCTTTTGAAAGCAAATATAACAGAGAGAAAGACACTATCAGCATGTGGTTTAAAATCAAATGAGACCTGAGGCTAATAAAAACTCTGAAGCTTGACTGTGCAGACTGTCCCCACACCTTGCAGTTTCCAGCTCAGACAAGGCATAATGGCCAACATAATCCTTGCTCGAATCTTGTGACCATTTATAAGATCTCAAAATTGCCCACCAATAAAATGGAAGAGAACACGCACATCTACATACAGAAAGCAAAGATAAAAATTGGGTAAAAAAATATGATTAGCACTGGGTAAAAAGATTGGGGGCTCAAGACAAGGCACCAGACTCCAGCATTAGAATGGGAGTGAGAAGCTTAAAGTGTTTGTTCTAATTGCCGTGAAATTAAGCCAACAGGGTTAATGAAACCAGCCTGAGCTGTTAATTTTTCAACTTCTGTACTATATTTCATTTGCTTTCTCTCTTCTGTATTGATTCAGAGGCAGACATCCATTAAAATAAGATACTAAAATATAACAATGAAGCATCTGACTCATAATAGTTGACAAAAATTAACACTCATAGATTTCTTTCTTCCCTTCCTTTTCTGTGTATCCATAGTGTTACAGAATTTACAGACAATACCACAGTCTTCTCCTTTAAATATTTAGATACATTCTTCCTTTAGGGGTTCTGATTTAGAGTGAGCTAAAATGCGTATCTTATTTTTTGCTTTCATTTTATTCATTTCGTGGTATTTTTAATGCTGAGTTCACATGACAGACTTGAGAAATTTTAAGGGGAAAAATAAAACATTCCTTGCACTTCATCCTATCGTTTAAGCATTCCCGTTCCTTGTAATTTGTCAAGTTTCCTCAACATTCTGATCATATAGTCCTCAAATTTTTCCAGGTAGTTCGGATTTGCTTAAGAGTCCTATACCGATGTAAAAGAAGGACATTAAAGGTGGTGGAGAGCAGTACTTTTTAAATTTAAAAGTACATCCCAATCACTAGGCCGTCTTGTTGAGATGCAGATTCTGATTTTCTAGGTAAGCTGAAGGCTTCTATTCATTTCCAGAAATCTGCCTTGATATGTTAAAGCTACTAGTTAGCCAAAAAGTATTTGTGGATCAACAGTCTAAAAATGTAGAGTAGAAAATATTAATTTCTTCACTCTGAGTGTTATAGGGCAACCCCGATATAAAATAAAATGGGTTGCCTGGCTGTGGGTCCTCACCCGCGCGCTTGAAAGGGACTTATTAATACTCCACTACAGACACACATGAAAGGTTAATAAAAGGTTTATTTACAAGGGAAAGAGAATTAAGGACATGTACAACTCAGGGAGAAAATAAGGAAATAAAGTCTTTAATGCGTCCTACCCTATCCGCCGACCTGGAAACCCAAAGGCACTCTCAGAGCTGGCTTAATGCTGTGAGCTGGTGGGGAGCCAAAATGGGGGATGCCCTCCAAAGCTCACATGTCTAGCTTTATACCACACCTGGCTGTTTAACCCCACCCTCAGGTCCCAGCCACCTTCCCTTTGGTGGTGATGGGATTTGGAGTTCCCAGTGTCTTTTGGCTTTGGTCTGGAGGGCGAGGGGGTGGAGTCTACAAAGCCTGTGTGGAATTAGCTTTAGGATATCCTTTTCCCCTTAACATGAGTACTACTCATGTGTCAAAGTAGGCTAAGACACAAATGTGTTTATGTATGTGAAAAAGCCCCATCACCTGTGAAGACAGCAGGTTTTCATTAATTTATTCATTTTAACTCGAGACAACTTGTATACTCTTAAGGAACATAGACCTGACTGCTCAGGTAAATAGGTCTCACCATTCTTCAATCCTTAGGGCAACCCTTAAACCATTTTAGTAGGTACCTGGTGGTTATATATCAATATATAACTTTTGTCATTGTAATCAATTAGTCTTTAAAAATTAAATCTAAAAAAAGAATAAATCTAAGTTCACTATCTTTCTGTACTGACCTGTCATCTCCTAGGTTTGGCCGAACCACACAGATGCCCAAGATAGAAACTTTGGAAGGTACTTATTATTTCCTTCTACAACATATATATTTAGCCAATGAATTTATTGCCAAAGTTTGATGATGGTACACTCTAAATAGCTTTCACCTTATACATGCTGCAGATCTTAGATTAAAAATTGCTTTTTCCAAATTGCCTTCCCTTTCTTCCATATCATGCACATTTGCAAACACATTAATTGTACCTCCCACCAACTGGCTACAGCTCAGTTCTCTCAGATCTACCCATGCTTCTCCTCCTTTATTCTCAGCATATTTGTGAATATCCTGGCTCTATATACATTCATTTTCCACTGTTACCCCCAAGTCCAGTGGAAAGATAGAACAGAGAAAAGGACTAACAAGAATCTGTCAAATGTTTACCAAAAAGTAAGAAATCCATCTTTGTGCGTTTGTCTCTATGTGAATCAAATTGGCACGCATTTGGAAGGAAACCAAACTTTAGATGCTTATCACAACCTTATTTTGCAATTATAAATGCTGTTCATATACATGGAGATCATTAAAAGTGACTTATTCATGTGTGAAACCATTTAAAATGGTGCATTATCTTGAATAGTGTTAGTGGTTAGCATTTATCTATAGTATCTTTCACTTGCTTTTAACTGCAAAAATAATCACAAACCAACACATTCTAGATTACAAAAGGTTGTACTAAAGCCCAGTTTTAATGATGCATGGAGGAGGATCTACATATGTTTCTGGAACCCCTGTATCTTTGCTCTCACACATGAACACATTTACACACACACACACACACACACACACACACACACACACCCCTGTTAAATGCTGGCACCAGCTGTTCATGAAGATTGGGATATAGGAGTAAAATGATCAATCATCCTGGTCTGCTAAGGATTTAGGGACTTCCAAGGATGTGGGACTTTCAGTGCTAAAACCAACACAGTCTTGGACAAACTGATGATTGGTCACAAATCAGTGTTGCCTGGAGCTTGGGTTTAGTATCTTTTAATGACATTGACACTAGCTTCAAAGTTTGTAATTGCTGGGCCTGTTAAAGGAAGAAACAATATCTGTGATACAACTTTCTAGATACAAAGAGGAAACTGAACTTGACAGCCTTTCCTGGTCAACCTGGACCATCAACAGTGTGATTCCTTGTTACACACATGCTACTGGGCTCATTACCATCAAAACGGCCAGCCATAGTGGAAAGACACACCTTTTAAAGTTGAAAATGTTGCAATTTTTAAAGAACCACATTCTATACTTTTCTATAACATTAGCCATAGCAGCCATCTGATGGAAATAATTTAACCGTCTGCAACTGCTATCATTTAGTAAGCTGCAAAAAATAAACTATAAAGTGAATGCAAATAGAATGAATTTAGAGGCCCATATTTTTCTAATTAATAGCAAATTATAGGTTCCTTTTGGCAACATTCATTTTACTGAAATCGCTGGAAATGTTATTTAAAAGGTGTAACATTAAATTTTTAGAAGGAAATGGCATGCTTTCATGCAAAAGGTCTCCTGCTTAAGTCTATCATTTCGAAACCAGGTTCTTTTAAAATAAGACATTAGAGTACAGAATCTGTCTCAACAGCAAAAGGATGTACAGAATGGCTTCCCAATGCCTGTTGGAAGAAATTCAAAGTGCTTGGTCTGGTTTTGTTGAGGTGGTCTGAAAATAACCATCTCAAAGTCTTTATGTGATCTTTCTGGAAACTTTTTTCATTTCTTCCTGGTAGGTCAACAACTCTTCAAACATTACTGACACTGTGTCTTGTACATAATAGGGACTTAATAATATAAATTGGATAGATGAATAAATGATGGCGATATAGATGGGGTCAAGATTCTATTCATGAATTTCTCCCTTTTATAGAGAATATACTCTATTTTCCTGTTTATGTAGGCTTTTTGCTGAAATTCCTTTAGAATGTTGTACTTAAACTATTGTTCCAAGTATTCATATGTGTATTTTAGCCTATGTGCTTTTAAATTTTTTAATGATGCTCCTCGCCACCTGTCAAGACCTTCAGCATCTTGAGGGAAATATCCTCAGTTAAGACTGGTGCAATATTTAGCACATTTTCCCCAGAACTTGTCAGTTATCATCACCAAGACAGCAGATCATTTCTGATTCTCCTCCTTCCATGTTCTATTCTAATGTTGCTTTTTCTCCTTTCCTAGCTTACAAAGATATTTCAAATCTGATGTCCCCTTGTGCCCATTTGCCAAGTACTGAGAATTGAGAGTTTGCAGTTTGATAAGGTGGAAGAATGAATGAATGAGGGTGTGTGCGTGTGTGTATTTACTATGGAAACATTTCTCTTTTGCCATTAGCAAAGTCTAAAACATGATCAAGAACAAAAAGGGATGGTGAGAGAACATGGACTGATAATGGCTGAGAAAACCGTTAACTGAACCTTCAATTAACTAGATTTTTAGTAGTGAATTGTAAGGTTTGTATATTTTGCTTTTATTAAAAAGTGAGAAATAGGACCTCCCTGGTGGCGCAAGGAGTTAAGATGTGACCTATGAAGTTCGCCACAGCCACTGCAGCACAAGTTTGATCCCCGGCCAGGGAGCTACCCACATGGCACAGCAGACCTCCCCTGACTCGCCCCCTGCTCCCCTCAGCAGTGTATTTCAGTCAGTCTGCCTGTTATGCTCCCCACTCTGTCTCTGGTGAATCCTCTCACCCCTACACCTCTGGCCTGTACCCCAGTTCTCGTATGTTAAATAAATAAATCTTTAAAAAAATAAGTGAGTAATATAATAGAACACAATAATTACAGGAAAATCTTTTTTTTTTTTATTTTGGGAAGTGTGCTGCAGAGATCAAAAAAAATTCACTTATTGCCTACATTTTCTATTTCCAAGTTCTGACAATTGGAATGGATGTCCTTACTGATGACCCTAAGTCTCAACATGCACTATAATGATGAAACAATGAGATAAGGTGGGTGAAAAACATTTTGAGAATTATAGTGCTCTGTGCAAATGCAAGGAAGATCCTCTAATATATGACATGCCTATGTAGAAATTAGTATTTCTTTATGAAATAGTGAATTCTCTCTTTATGGAATTACTTAACATAGCTAGATGACCATGTTTCAAGAATGCAATACAAAAAGTTCCTTAAAGGGTCAAAAGTCAGCCTAAATCACTTCCACTATTCCTTCTATTGATACCTCTGATATTTCCACAATGTATTGTAGTGTGAGTGAAATACTATTTCAACCACCAGACTTTTGAATGTGAAACAAATTTAATTTATTTCTATTAGCCCCCCCTCCCCATTCTGCCAAGTAATTTATCTTGAAACTGCTAGGTAGTGTGATCTAACCCTGTAAGTCTTCAGCAACTAAGAATGTATAAATCAGTGTTAGTCAGTGTTTCCCCATACCTGATCCTCTTTTCTTATCAGTTACTGATCTCTCCCAGTCATCAAGTGGCCATTACTGCCAGTCATAACAGTGAGAACTAGGAGTAGAGGATTAGCTTCCAGGATTGATTGCTCAGGAGGGAGTAGTTTCAGATACGAGTTCAGGGCTGGTATCACACATTGTGCTAGCCCATAGCTGCTATGCTCATGCCCAGGAGATACTTGTTTCTGGTGGGGATGGATGGGTAATGGTAAGTTCTTCAAGAACAGATTTATTTCCTTACAGCTTTCTCTACTTAGGGGATTATCTGAGAGATTGAGATGGAACTTGTTATGGCTCAAGGCAGACAGTCCATCAGCATTCCTCTGAAGGACCTCACCTTGTCCAGTATCCAGAGATGTATTCAAAACAGTTACTCCAAACGGCATAGTTCAGCTACTGACACTCAGAATAGATGTTGGTCAGAGCAGTGGAATATGGTTTGTGTCAATTTTAGCCCTCTGTTCCATGGATCATGGGGAACGTGGCAAAATTGTACTCAGAGGGGCAGGGAAGTGAAAGGTATTTAGGGTCTTGTTAGTTCATCTGTTCTTTTTCTATCAGTCAGAAGGATTTCCATTTTCAAAACCAGTCAAGCCACCCTGGGGCATATGAGATAGGGATTAGTCCTGCCAATATTCTGGTGGTCTCTGGAAATACTGTAGATCCATATCCTTACCTTCTGTCCAAAACTGAAACACACAAGAACTTTTGAAGTCCTCTGCCATAGAATTGTGGAGCACATGGACAGTGGTCTGGGGGTGTACTTTCAGAGATGTAATCATAAGGCAATTCTTTATTGCCCAGGTCTACTTTGAGTTCCAACTTTTAAGAGAATTACTTAGCTCTGTCTTTTCATTCCAGTATTTTTAAAGTTGTGAAAATTAAAATAGTATATATAAAGTAGTTATAACAGAGCCTAGCATAGTAAAACATTTATAAGTGTGAGCTGTTATAACTTTGTCACCCTTGAATAAATGTATGGGTAGTAGCTATAAAATTGTTAATTTCATATTTTACTACAAAAACCCCATACACATGCATCCCTCCAGATTTTTGATCAGTCCCTTCTGTCTTCTCCCATCACAGATGCTACATGCATCATCATACTCCCAGATTTCAAAATAATGGACAAAACCCTAGGATAAACAGATAAGAGATGAATATACAGAACTTTAAGACCTTATAAAGAAAACTCATTGACCTACATTAGCAAATCATCAGAGGACTAAATTGTATGGATATCTAGATAACTCACAGATGAGTTAGAAGAGAAATTACCTTATTTTAGGGTTTCTGCAATCTTAAATGTGTTGCTAGTTTAAATATGAGTTATCAATTTTTGTGGTCAGAGACCACAAGAAAAAATATACACATATAAAAATCTGACTTCCTTGGTAGTTCTGGCTGAAGAATTGGAACAGAAGTGCCTTCACCTTTAGAGATAGCATATGAAAATTCCTTGTGATTCTTTTCGGTTCTTATTACATGTGTTCTGTGAAAAATATAGGTTTAGTTTACTGTTGGATGAAATATTTGATTAAATATGAGAATGATGTAGTTTTTGGAGTTGATGGGTTTGGAGAGCCTGGTGCTTGGGTTCACTCTGGGAAAGACTTCACCAGAGCTCCTCTTTGCGGCACACGGCGAGTTTCTCCACGAGACAGAGGCGTTAGTTATATTTAAAAGAGCAGGTTTATTAGGAAAATGGACAGGCGGGTAAATGACACTTGCGTAAACACAAGCGGGCAGGAAGAGCTGCCCCAAAAAAGACAGGTTTGCTGAGAGAGGCCTGCAGGGTTGCAGGTGGGCGGCCTTGAGGAGAGCTGCCTCTGCTGAGGGAGGTCAGTGAAGAGAAGCTCTGGCATTGTGCAGGTCACGGGCAGGCCGGCAGGAAGCTGCTGCCCTGCCGAGGGAAAGAGTTGGTGAAAGGAAGCACCTGCATAGTCACAGGTGGGCAGAAGGACTGCTGCCCTGTGCCATTGCAGAAACTCCACTGATACAGACTTTGTTTCTTTGGGAGGGGCTCACTTCTTCCTGGTTTGTTTGCCAACTGAGTAGACTATGAAGAATTTGAAAGGAACTAGAGAGTCTACAATGGGCTCAATCTCCATCTTTACCTTTGGATCTGTGCTCCTGACCCTCCCTACACAGTCTGATGCCTGCGTGGATTTTATGCTTTGTGATCTAGGCACTGACAACTAAGGATCTCAGCTCCTCTAACTGGGTCAATGGCTGTGCTAATTCCTTTTACCCTCACCTCCAGCTCTTGGCATCGTGTGAGCCAGGTTTCTGGTCTTGTGTTGCCCTCTTTCCAGTTTTTCTATTCTTATCCTCCATCAATAACATACAAATTGTGATCAGTTTCTTTGTTCTTTAATCCAGTCCTAAATCGATCAACACCTGTTAACATCATCCTCCATACCCCCATCACCAGCTACTGTTTTGTGAGCTATAACATGACATAATCTGTCAGGAATTGAGTCCTGAATCACCTGAGTGTCTATGTATTGACTCCTTGTTTCTGCATTTGCTACAAGAGCCATCCTTTTACTTGAAATGAAAAATTAAGATAACATTTGAGTGATTAATAAAAGTTTAGAAGTAAAGCACCGGGTTTTTGTCAAAGGCACTAGTTCTTATATAAGTTCTCTAAATGTATGCAGATAGATCTTTTATTTTTTTAACCTGAAATGAATTTTTCCAGCTCTAGGCCTTAGACTCTTCATCATGGTAAAGTATTAATTTTATTCACCAACCAAGAAATAAATTTCCAATGAGGTGAGAACACTGTGAGGAAGCTATAGAAGCCTTTTCCCTCCCCAAATTGTATGGTATATGTAAATATTTCAGGAAAGCTGCCAATTGCTGAAGAGGCAATTTACTCTGAAAATTCATTTGTATTGATACTTTTTTTTTTTTTTTGTGCAGTTGATGGGTTTGGAGAACAAGGTACTCAGGTTCACTATGGGAAAGGTTTTACCAGCACTCCCCTTTCAGTGGTGATACCAAAATTGCAGGTCTTCAGGCCTAGTCTCACAGCCAGGAGCAGATCCCAGGCTGCAGGGGCACCGCTGTGTCCCAGCCACTAGACCACCATGGGTGGCTTCTCATGAAGCCACTGCAGGAATTTCGCTGACACGCAGGCAAGCAAGCGAAGAGGCAGATTTTTTCAGAGAAAAAAGAAGTTTATTAAGAACAAAGGAAACAGACATAAAGTGGGACTCTGAGGCCAGTGGAACCAGGCCAGGGAGGGGCATGGGAGCAGAAGTGGAGAAGTGCCTCAGGGAACATATACCTTCTTTCCCTAATTATTTGTGATTGGTCAGTTCTCTGTGGTCTCACTGCCTAAATGTTTTTGTGCCCAGAACTAAGTCTCTGTGCCCCAGCCCCTTTTTCTTTATCTTCCTTGTCCAGGAATGTCCTATTGCCCCTAGTGCTGGGTTGTTTGATTGGTCCCCTTTGGAATTTGTTGCCCTTAACTGTGGAGCCTTCCTTAACTCTCCTGAAGTCCCTGTACTGCCCCTGAAGCTGCCTAATTATCCCTAACTTGCCCTAGGACTCACTTACATAACATGAGTAGGCAGGAAGAGCTGCCCTGAAATAGACAGGTTTGCTGAGACAGGCCTGCATGGTCACAGGTCAGCGGCCTTGAGGAGAGCTGCCTTTGCAGAAGGAGGTCAGTGAAGAAAAGCCCTGGTATAGTACAGGTCATGGGCAGGCAGGAAGCCTGCTGCCCTGCAGAGAGAGAGAGCTGGTGAAAAGAAGCACCTGCATAGTCACAGGTGGGCAGAAAGACTGTGCCTGTGCAAGTGCAGAAATTGCACTGATTTAGACTTTCTCTTTGGGAGGGGCTCATTCCTTCATGGAATGGCCTGTTTGTTGTCAACTTTGAACAAACTTTGTAGAATTTGAAAGGGGCTAGATTTCTACAATGGCTCTCAATCTCCATGTCTTCACCTTCAGGTCTGTGCTCCTGACACCCCCTTCAGCAGTCTGACACCTGCTTGGGTCTTGTGCTTTGTGATCTAGGCATTACCCCCACCTCCAGCTCTTGGCTTTGTGCGAGCCAGGTTTCTGGTCTTATGGAGCTTCCTTTCCAGTTTCTCTATTCTTATCCTCCATCAGTATTGTTAGAAAAGAAAGGCCAAGAGTATGAGATGGAAGCAGGCTTTATTGATAGCGCATGAGGTGATGACTCTCTGCAGGCCAAGAGTTGTGCCCCCAAATGGGAGCGCAAGGTCTTTATATAGAGTTAGGCTACTGCTTTAATTTTTTGGTGTACATGTGGGGGGGAGGGGTCTCTTCTGCAGGAGGGGTCTGCTGGAATTGTTTACTGTTGCCAGTTTTATCTCTGATTTTGCTTATCTCAGATTCCCTGGTGCAGGTTTTACAAGGGGCCTGTTTCTGTTCTCTTCAAGCATCATATGCTTAATGTAATAAAACGCAGTGTTTTATATTGTTTAAATGAGGCCTACTTTCTAACTATATTATTTTTATATACCCTTATGGGGATATAGTTTTGTTCCCCAAATCTTTAACAATATGCAAGAGCCCACTTTTGGGGGCTTAGTAGCATCTTGGCTGGCAGCTCCTTTTATGTAGCATAATATTAGCATATTCATGTACAGTTCATAGATTTCACCTCTTTCCATTTTATTTATATCCTTGAATGCCTACTCCAGATTATAATTATGTCCCTAAATCTCAGGATTATAATGCACACCAATTGCCTTACTCTAAATCATATCTAACTTCACCAGAAACAGTGGGGAACAGAACAGGCAGATCGACTGAAATACACTGCTGAGGGGAACAGTGGACACGTCAGGAGAGGTCTGCCGTGCCATGTGGGTAGCTCTATGGCCAGGGATGAAACTTGTGCTGCAGTGGCTATGGATAGCCACTGCATAGGTTGCGTCTTAACCCCTTGAGACATGGGAGGCCCTACAAAACCCAGTTTTAAAGTGAGTTTTTGTAGCTTGGAACACACCTCCCTGTGAATATCTGGATTGCACAAAATGGGAAAAGGGTAATGGTTGATCTTAAAAGGGTCTCGAAATTTTCTGCTGTCAATTTATGGGTTGAACATACTCTATAATCATCATCTCCATAAATGAGGGAGAGAGAAGGAACAAGCAAGGAACAAAAGTTCCTTTGAAATTAGTCCATAGGAAAAATAGCTTAACTAAAACTGGTGAGGGATTAACATCCCAGAGGGGATGGAGCCCCTAACTGCTGTTAGGACAAAGGACATCTATCTGATCAATGACTGCTTCCTGCTGAAAGTGGGTGAAGTGGGGAGGCAATCAGGGCTCCACTGCAGGGCAATGATCTAAGGAACCTCAGAAGAAGGATGGTGGAGGCTTCATAGTAGGTTCCATCTGAAGGACCATATGGAGTTTGATGGCCTCCAGGTGAGCGATGATCCTGAAGAGGGCATTGAGGAGGATGCAGGGCCCAAGCAAGAGAAAAATGAAAAAGTTTTAGTAAGGGAATGAAAAAGGGAAACAGCCAGGACAGGAGTTGGTCTTTTTAAGGATTTAAGAGTAAGGAGGGCACAAACTCATGAGTAAGCCCAGAACTCTATAGTGCTATACAACCACTGAAACTGGGGAATTTAAGGAACATAGTTGGACTTTGGCTTGAGGGGTATTGTGGTTCCATCAGGAAGATACGAGGTTCCTTTAATAGTGTTATAGGGCAACCCCGACATAAAATAAAATGGGTTGCCTGGCTGTGGGTCCTCACCTGCGCGCTTAAAAGGGACTTATTAATACTCCACTACAGGCACACATGAAAGGTTAATAAAAGGTTTATTTACAAGGGAAAGGGAATTAAGGAAATGTACGACTCAGGGAGAAAATAGGAAAATAAAGTCTTTAATGCATCCTACCCGATCCGCCAACCTGGAAACCCAAGGGCACTCTCAGAGCTGACTGAACGCTGCGAGCTGACTGGGAGCCAAAATGGGGGATCCCTTCCAAAGCCCACATGTCTGTCTTTATACCAACATGGCTGTTTAACCCCACCCTCAGGTCCCAGCCACTTTCCCTTTGGTGGTGATGGGATTTGGAGTTCCCAGTGTCTTTTGGCTTTGGTCTGTAGTGGGGGGTGGAGTCTACAAAGCCTGTATGGAATTAGCTTTAGGACATCCTTTTTCCCCTAACAATAGCACCCTAAGAGGGGTAGCAAAAATACCTCAGCCTGGAACTGTAGTGTCCCAAGCACCTGGAGGTGTTGTAGCCAAAGTGGCAGAATCAGTGAGAATTAGGGCTTCCATGTTACTTCTGTCTTTTGTAGCAGCAGCTAGAAGAGCCAGTAGTGGCTACAGAGGCTGTTAGTTTGGAATTTAGTTTCCATTTCCTGTCCTAATAGAAGTTAGGAAAGCAAGACTAAAAATGTATAAACACATGGCCTTGTTGTGAGCAAGCTAGCAGTGCTGTGCAGTGTCCTGGCTCAGGCTGGCCATCAGTACTAGTGAGGGGGACAATCGACCAGTAGGTCAGTCCAAAGAATTGGCATAAGGCAGAGCAAGGCCCCTTATTTACCAAAATGTTGATCTTTTTGTCTGCCACTTCTAGGGTTACCTGAGGCTTATCCATATAAACAGTAAACAGGGGAGCCTGTCTCACCTCTGGACTTCAGAGAAGTTCTTCTTCTGCACCGGGTTCATCATAGTCAAAGGCAGCTGACAGTCAAGCCTGCCCTACTGAAAGGGAACTGCTAAGCAAATAAAATCTTTCCTGTTTCCTGCTAAAGAGTCACAGGCCTGGTGCAGTAAATAATGCAAAGTGTAAATAACAAGTTTGCTTCCTTAATAAGCATATCTAAAGGAGGTGACATTCTAACACAGTGGGACCATGGGCCAGGCTGATTGATCTCCCAGGCCATCCTGGGATATCTGATGTCAAGAACTTTTGTGCTCACTGACCGATGTTATCAATATAAGATGGTCATGTATAAAAGAAACCCTGTCTCTAGACCAGTACTCAGACCTTACAGGGATACCCAGGTCTGAGATCTCATGTATAATAAAGCTTCTCCTGACCTCAACATTCCTGAAGTACTGCTTGTTCTTCCCTCACCTGGATAAAAGGCTAGACTTTATTTCTGCCACACTACCATCCTGGCCTGTGGTTTGGACTGGCTCCCTGTATTTCTTGTGTCCAGGCCAATCACAGCGAACTATATGGGTCCCCTAAAGCCCTAGGGGAGGGGGCCTCCCCCCACCCCCCCCCATTGGCTCAGCAGGTTGCGTGCAGCACTGTGAAGCCGCTCATAGCCCCCACAGCGCAGGTTCGATTCCCGGCCGGCTTGGCCTGCCAGCCAGGGCGCCCTGCAAGGTAGATTCTGGCCCGCCTCTACCGCTTTCGGCCTCAGCAGAGGAGCCCCACAGTGTGGACTCGCCCCTGCCTCCGGCACCGAAGGCCTGATTCCCGGCTAGGCCAGAGGGCCCCCACAGTGCGGATTCGGACCCAGGTTCAATTACCCGGCCAGCCTCCCCCAACTTCGCCCACTGCATTTCCTACTCCCAGGCTCATCACAGCTAACTCTAAGGGTGGCCTAAAGCCCTAAGGGAGGGGGCCTTCCCCCCGGTGGCTCAGCGGGCTGAGTGCAGTGTGGTGAAGCCATTCACAGCCCTCAGTGTGGGCTCGTTTCCCAGCCAGGTGGCCAGCCAGGACGCCCTGTGGTCTGCGAACCACATGGGTGACCCAAAGCCCTCAGGGTAGGGGGTCTCCCCGCCTCCCCTCCCCCCCCGTGGCTCAGCGGGCTGCGTGCAGCACCGCAAAGCAGCCCATAGCCCCCACAGCGTGGGCTCGATCCCTGGCCATGAAGCCGCCCACAGCCGGGATTCGATTCCCGGCCGGCTTGGCCTGCCAGCTAGGGTGCCCTGCAAGTTGGATTCTGGCCCGCCTCTACCGTTTTCGGCCACCGCTGAGCCCCACAGCGTGGACTCGCCCCCGCCTCCAGCACCGAAGGCCCGATTCCCGGCTAGGCCAGAGGGACCCCACAGTGCGGATCTGGACCCAGGTTCGATTACCCCACCAGCCTCCCCCACCTTCGCCCACTGCATTTCCTATGCCCAGGCTCATCACAGCTAACTATAAGGGTGGCCTAAAGCTCCAAGGGAGAGGGCCTCCCCCCGGTGGCTCAGCAGGCTGAGCATAGCAGGGCACCGCGAAGCTGACCATAGCCCCCACACCGTGGGTTCGATTCCCGGCTGGCCAGCCATCGCAGCCAGCGTAGCCAACCAGCTCAGCCACAGAGCCCTGCAGCGCAGACCCTGGCCCGGGCTCGATCCCCGGCCCACCCCCAACATTTTGGCCCACGGCAGAGGGCCCCATAGCAGACACCCCCCACCCCCAGAGGGCCCGATACCCGGCAGGCCAGAGGGCCCGATACCCGGCAGGCCAGGCCAGAGGGCCCGATACCCGGCAGGCCAGGCCAGAGGGCCCGATACCCGGCAGGCCAGAGGGCCCGATACCCGGCAGGCCAGAGGGCCCGATACCCGGCAGGCCAGAGGGCCCGATACCCGGCAGGCCAGAGGGCCCGATACCCGGCAGGCCAGAGGGCCCGATACCCGGCAGGCCAGAGGGCCCGATACCCGGCAGGCCAGGCCAGAGGGCCCGATACCCGGCAGGCCAGGCCAGAGGGCCCGATACCCGGCAGGCCAGAGGGCCCGATACCCGGCAGGCCAGAGGGCCCGATACCCGGCAGGCCAGAGGGCCCGATACCCGGCAGGCCAGAGGGCCCGATACCCGGCAGGCCAGAGGGCCCGATACCCGGCAGGCCAGAGGGCCCGATACCCGGCAGGCCAGAGGGCCCGATACCCGGCAGGCCAGGCCAGAGGGCCCGATACCCGGCAGGCCAGAGGGCCCGATACCCGGCAGGCCAGGCCAGAGGGCCCGATACCCGGCAGGCCAGGCCAGAGGGCCCGATACCCGGCAGGCCAGGCCAGAGGGCCCGATACCCGGCAGGCCAGAGGGCCGATACGGCAGGCCAGAGGGCCCGATACCCGGCAGGCCAGGCCAGAGGGCCCGATACCCGGCAGGCCAGGCCAGAGGGCCCGATACCCGGCAGGCCAGAGGGCCCGATACCCGGCAGGCCAGAGGGCCCGATACCCGGCAGGCCAGGCCAGAGGGCCCGATACCCGGCAGGCCAGGCCAGAGGGCCCGATACCCGGCAGGCCAGAGGGCCCGATACCCGGCAGGCCAGATGGGCCCGATACCCGGGCCCACTGCATCTCCCGTGTCCAGGCTCATCACAGCAAACTATATGGGTGGCCTAAAGCCTTAGAGGATAGGGACCTCCCCTGGTGGCTCAGCAGGCTGAGTGCAGTGCTGAGAGGCCGCCCACAGGCCCCAGCCCCCACAGTGCGGCCTCGATCCCAAGCCAGCTCAGCCAGAGGGCCCCGCGGTGCGGATTCTGGCCCGGGCTCGATTCCCTGTCGACCTACTCCTGTTTTCGCCCATGGCAGAGGGCCCCACACTGTGGGCTCAATTCCCCACCAGCCAGCAGGAGCTGTCCGCAGCCCCCGCAGTGCAGGCTGGACACCCCGGTCACTGCCCCCCTCAACAGTGGCCTCTGTCTGGCCCAATTCAGCTCCTGCGTGAACTAAACAAATCTTTAAAATAAAATGGGCCTCCCCTGGTGGCGCAGGGGTTGAGCACTGGGCTGGGAGTCTGCCTGCAGCCTCTGCAGTGCTGGTTCGTTCCCTGGCCACCAGCAGGGGTCCCACAAAAAAAACCTAGAAGTTTGCATAGACCAGGTTAATTATTACCTTATTGCATATGCATGAGTTTTCTTTTAAGTAAACACATTTAAAGAGTAAAGAATATTAATAAAGAGTAATAATACCAACACTATAAAGTTCACCCGCTGCCCCCCAACAGTGTCCTCAGTCGCTGCCCCCCTCAGCAGTGTCCTCAGTCCAGTCTGATTTAGTTCTTGTATGAAATAAATCTTTAAATTAAAAAACCTAGAAGTTTGTTAGCATAGACCAGGTTAATTATTACTTTATTGTATAAGCATTAGTTTTCTTTTAAGTAAACACATTTAAAGAGTAAAGAATATTAATAAAGAGTAATAATACCCAACACTATAAAGTTCACCTGCTTCCCGCCAATAGTGTCCTCAGTTGCTGCCCCACTCAGCAGTGTCCTCAGTCCAGTCTGATTCAGTTCTTGTATGAAATAAATCTTTAAAATAAAAAACCTAGAAGTTTGTTAGCATAGACCAGGTTAATTATTACTTTATTGTATAAGCATTAGTTTTCTTTTAAGTAAACACATTTAAACAAACTATTAATACCCAATACTAAAAGCTTAACACATGTATGATTTAAATAAGAAACTAAACTTTTACAGGCCCAAAAAGCAATTTAGAAATTTTCACTCAACCAAAAAGCACCATGTATAGCTTGTTAGCAAATCCAAAGTAACTCAGCAGTTTTTACCTTAAAACAATCTAGACTTTAAGATTTAGGAAACACAGGGAAATAGAATTTTTTTCCTATAGAACGAACCAAAGCAGGAGACAAAGGGAGAGTCCAGTTCCCCCACAGCTGGAAGGCAGCAGAGACTTGCCAATGATCTCAACACTGAAGGAAAAAAGTCCAGGCAGCTGCCTGTTGAGACCAGAGGCAGCCCTCCTTCAGCCAGTTGCAGTGGATGCCTTACTTTATGACCGGTATCTCAGATAAGCATTCACAAGTTTGTCTTTCCCATATTTCTTGCAATTACCTCCTTGTTTGAAAGGTTTGTCTTCTTGCATTCTAAGGAAAAGGAAGGGTATCCTAAGAGGATAATAAGGAAGTTAAACATCAGGTGTTAACAAAGCAGACTGGTGCCCACCTGAAATCTCCATATGCCTGCATCAAAAGGACATGCCCACCCTTTCCATCTCCCTTGTGTTTTACCCTTTGTATAAATAACCCTGCCCTCTGCCAAAGAGCAGGACAGTTGTCTTTCAGACATGAGGCTGCTGCTCTCCTCATTTGTCAACAAATTAAAGCACTTTCCTTTTCCTTAAACTGTTTCCTTTTATTGGCTGAGGGAAACTGAGGCTGGCATTCGGAATTGCCTGTACATACATCCCTGCCATAATCTGAAACTCAACCTTTTCTGCCTGTGCCTATTGGCAGGGTCAAAGCAGACACCAGGGGAAGAGCTCCTAGGGGTGTCCCTAGATTTTTATAAGAACATTTTGTACCTTATGACTTATAAATTGCCTCAATAGAAGCTGAAATAAGTCTGTCCTATAGTGGGAGGACCAAAAGGTAAGTCTTTTTTTAGAAGTCAGGCCTCCATGACTCTTGCCTATGTGCCGGCCTAGCAGAACCCTTGTCTGCAACATCAGACCTCCTGGATGTCCAGTGTTCCAAGGGCCGCAGCTTGGTCTTCGTGAGCACTCTCGGAGTCCAAGGATGATAGAGAAAAGCGAGGAATCAGTGACAAAAGAATCCCAACATTCCTAACTCAGTAAGTGGGGGATCAGGAAGCCTTGCCAACTGAAAAAACTGTCACCTGAGACTTTAAGAATGGCAGCCTCATGCTTGTCACTTTTACCGGGCCAATGGATGCCCATTAATTTGCAGTCAAATAATGGACAGAGAGAAAGTTTGTTAAATGTCTATAGCCTGTCTGAAGCTCCACAGGTAACAGAGAAGTAAATCAGTTGCACTGCAAGAGGGGGATGAATGGGGAGGAGAGGACAGGAGCAAGGAAATATAAGGGGAGCCATTTAAATAATCCTAGCAGGGATCTGAGGCCAGGGTGGGGTTCTGGGTCAGATCCTGTGTAGTGCTTACTGAGGAATGACTTTCCCAACTGTCACATTGGGACCATTCATCCGCCACTGTGTCTCGGCAACTCCTCCTCTGCTGAGGGTAGGAAGGGATGGCCTAAGCTGCTGGGAGATCAGCCCCTTCTGTGCAGCTGCCAGACAGCCTCTAGATGATGTATGTGCCTAGCTCTTAGGAGACTATAGTCCCTCACACAATGACAACCAGAGTTTTATTTTTCCAACTGGCAGATGGGCTAGT